GATAAATATCAGCTAGTGAAACTACCAATAGCTTTATCATAACAATAACACATTAATTTCTGTAACTCAAGAAAGAATATAAGACCCATCATTGTTAAAGATAGCTTTTAAAATTAATTGCATCAAATTTCAACGTCGAAATTATTCGAATTTCGATATTTTTCACGAAAAGCAAATTAAGAACAAGACAGTCGCTATGAATTCATGCAAATATTTGTGCAAAAATACCTATAATAATCTGGACCTACAATCAGTTCTTTTTATCCCTGCCCCATTAAATCAGCGTTCGGCTTTTGGTCTCTTACCAACTGTTTATCATTCTTCGTCACGCGACGCTTTGCTCGCCGTAATCACCATGTTTAAAAACAAAGAAATCTGTTTTTCGCGGAAAGTCTAACGTGCAGAATGGCTGCAAAATTATACGTGTTTCGGCATATTATATTTCTGGCGATTATATTCTTTCCCCGGTGATTTCGCGGCACGAACAGACTTTTTAGCTTAGAATTTCTAATATGGAGAATAGACAATTTTTTCATATATTGGACATCGAACTATTTTTTCAAATATATCATATTTTTTATTTGTTTATCATATGTCAATATAATTTAAGGTATTTGTGAAAGAATTTTGTCATTTATTGGACATCGAACTATCTTTTTAAATATCTCTTTTATTTGTTTATTATGTGTCAATATAATTTAAAGCATTTGTGAAAGAATATAAATAAAAAATTTTATAAGGTGTCTCATTTAATCTTGACTTTGTGAATTTTCTCAATTATGAAAATGCAGAAAATGTTTCATAAATAATTGCAATGTTACTAAGTGGCTAAGATTGATTAGGTGTTTGTGACTTAATCTTTCCAGACACATTTTACGTCTGCAATTAAAGAAACAGACCAAACTACTCATGTAACAAAAGAATTAATATCGAATTCAAAAGGTTGTCCCAGTATATCATTTTATAATTTAAGCGCACTGTATATCATATATTAACTATATTATAAATGCAAGCTGCTATGTAAAGATGAAGTTGCACTCTTCAAAATAAAGTTCATATAATAAGAAAAGAGTAAGAGTGTAGAAAAGTGCGTAGCGACAAAAAGCACGGTCGTTGAAGTCTCGTACGGTGTCGGCCACAAATTGGCCACGTTTTCCCTCGCATTTCATTTCAGCAGATGATGGTGTCTCTGGGCGGACGCCCTGGGCAGCAACCCCCGATGATTACGAATTTCTGGCTTCGACTTCGGACGACCGTCCAACAGAGAGGAATAGAGGACGAGCAGCACGACGGAATCATCTTAAGCGGTAAATTATACGTATGCTAAGTGGGCACATTCAGATTATTATTATCATCATCATCCCTCCGTCCGTCCACCGATTCGCCCTTCCGAGAATGATTACACGCGGTCGTCTCTCTGTTTTTCGAGACCCTTCCCTTTCCTCATTTGAATGCGATTTGGACTGGCAGCGGTGCACACGCGTTCCTTCGACGCTCTCTTCGTCTTGTTCGTTGCTGATGAGCGAAACCGTGCCTTCGAGAGCTATAGAAACGGATCTTGTAACGACGGTAATAATCATCGAGATCATGTTTCGTATAATTTTACCGTCGTTCGTCTTTCGATAAACACAGTGGGCAACCGCTTGATGTATGCCACTTTCGCTGATAAATTTCAAGCTCAACGTTCTGCGGTTATATTAAATACAGGTGTCAAAGCTTTATTATACGCGGTTAATCGAATGAATATGAGTATTTGATTCGGGATTCATAAGTATGGCGGATCTACTTGTCGGTACAGGTTCACGAATAGTAGGACTTTCACATCTTTCGACTTTGGTTCAGAGTTTTACATGGTTTCTTAATTTTGATAAGGTTCGGTGTGCATCTACTCATCGGTACACTTCCAGAAATATTAGGACTCTCACATCTTTCGACTTTGGTTCAGAGTTTTACATGATTTCTCAATTTTTATTAATTGTTATAAGGATCAGTGTGCATCTACTCGTCGATACAGGTTCACAAATATTAGGACTTTCATATCTTTCGACTTTGGTTCAGAGTTTTACATAGTTTCTTAATTTTGATTAATTTTTATAAGGTTCGGTGTGCATCTACTCATCGGTACACTTCCAGAAATATTAGGACTCTCACATCTTTTGAGTTTGGTTCAGAGTTGTAGGACATGGTTTCTCAATTTTGATTAATTGTTATAAGGATCGGTGTGCATCTACTCGTCGGTACAGGTCCACAAATAATAGAACTTTCACATCTTTCGACTTTGGTACGAAGTTTTGCGATATAGTTTCTCAATTTTAATAAAGAACTTCAATTTTGGCAAAGGACTATAGTATGTTGAAGCTTCGAAATCTTTGAAATTTGGTATCTCAGAAGGTTGGAACTTTGAGACTCAATTAATAATTACATTATGAATTTTACAATTCTTGAATACATAAGAATATTGATATTTTTATTTACAAGTGAATCCGCAATTTTTGAATACAGAAGATAGGACAAGTCAGAAGACTCAGAGGAGAACCACTGCGAAAAGGTAAAGCATACAAAGCAATGGCCGTATTCAGGCTTGATCACTGGTGATTCACGTAATACGTTATTAATTTGAATGCCTCGTCCGATGAATTATTTAACGGCGCGATTAGGCTAATGCATCGAGCTCTTCTGCTGCCTACACGTCCGCCGATAGTTTGTTCGTGATTTCGGTAACGGTCCGAATCCATCAGCTCTCGACCTTTTTAATTGCGAGACTCTATTAGCGGGACCGAATGCAAGATTATTCCTGGAACCGTGACCGGTTGATTATTGTTATTACGTTTCTAACGTTGAACGCGTTTGCAGCACGATCGTTCAACTCGTTCGCAAATTTCGCATCGACGGAATCGCGGCACGTGCCAATTAGTCCCCTCTGCTATTCGGATACCTCCTCTTCATTTTGCCTATTTAGGTGCCATGACTCTTAAATTCGTGTTTTCGAAACACGGTTATTTAATGGCTACCATCAGTCGTGGATTCGATGATAATTGTTAATCGAGAATCATGGTACTTCCGCCATATAGGGGTAATTTGTACGTTTAATTTGATAGAATTAAATTATCCTCAATCTGAAAGGTGCTTTTAAATTTTTTATGACGATATATCTTGTGCCAATTTCCTTCTTTTTACCTTTAATTCCTCGTTCAAATTTATTGGAATATACAGTTATTCGCTGTACAGTAACTTCGTCTTATTCGAATAATTATCTTATATCAAAACTATTGACCTTCTGATTCTCATAATTTATTAAAATTAAATAAACGAGAATTCTTATTTTTCTATCCTCGTATCTCTCTTTTATAATTTATTACAATTCTACAAACAAGAACCCTAAAAAATTTTCCAATATTTTCTACACGTTCATAAAAATGTTTTGAACATAAATCTTCATAATCTTAAACATAATAATCGGTGAAATTTACCATAATTTGAGAGTAAAAAAGATTGTGAGAGCAATACAGGTCCATGATCCTTTAGAAAGTTTCTTTTACAGCATTCGACACATGTTCAGCCGCAGGTCCATTGTTCCTTGTTCAGTTCGGAAACGTAATATTACGGAACAGTCGCAGCTCGGGGGGCATTCCTGAGGTCTGTGCAACGCGGTGCTCGAGTTCTGGTTCTTCCGCCAGGGGATGGAATTCCGATCGTAGGTGGTGCTCGAGTAGAAAGGAAACGGCATTTGTCCTCGGGGAGTAAGGATCGTATTCAACGATGGCCAATAATAATTAGGTCGGTCTGGCCCGCGGTCAGGATTTCGAGAATATTTGTGAACCGACAGAAACGGCTTCGTCGAATCGACGTAACGCAACCTAGGAATTTCGTGGGTGGGTCCACGTCCTGAGGTCCACTCCTGCAGCACTTTCGATCTTCCTTCGTCATCATTTTTATTTAAATAGAAATAGAATACTTTCGTATTTAAACAGAATTCTCTATCTGGGTTTTTATAATCACTTATACAGAATTATAATTCATAAACTTTAGGGTTAATAAATGTAAGGCGAGTCGATAACCAGAGGATTCACAGTCGACACATTTTGTAACACAAAAGATAATATAAATTATTTGAATGATCCACTTCATATTTACATGTGCATCATTTCTAACTTAATAATTACTTTCCATGTGTTTACTATTTCTATAATTATTGTAACTAATGATTGTATAATGTGTATCGAAGTTCGGCCATTTTGTGTTTACAATTTCTTTAATTATTGTAACTAATGATTGTATAATATGTATTGAAGTTCGGCCATTTTGTGTTCAATATTTTACTCCATTTCAATAATTGTTTTCAATAATCATTTTCAATAATCGTTTTCAATAATCGTTTGATATCCTAATTTTCTACACTCTTCTTTCAGCTTCGATTTACCTGATCCAAATTACAAAATGTATAGGATCACATTATGGTCGCATTAATTTCTTTCACCCTACATAAATTTCTATTGTCCCAAATTGCCCGTTTCTGGGCCGTAAACGTAATGAGGGTAAACTGGGAATCCTTCAAAAATTTCGTAAGCCGGAATAAAATGGCGGACCGGTGGACTTAGGTGCGTAAAACGAGCGCGGGTGGATGATTGCATGATTGCCCGGTGATTATGGGAAATTTTCGAAAAGTCGATGGGTACCCTTTCCGAGACTTCGTGGTAATCGCTTTTACCCGCTTAATTGCGTAATTGACGCTCTCTTTGATCGTACCGATGACTTCATTTCAATGCAGATTTTTCTTTTTTAGTGTTTGAGACTTTAGAACATTTACCTCTGAAGCTTTGAGAAAATTGTACACAATTTTTCTTAAAAAAAAAATTGTTTCACAACGTTCAATGCTGTTGTGTATAACTTAATACTCCACAGGTCCACATAACATATGACGCAGGTCACATATGATATCCATTCATAATTTAAAAAATCTTCAAAACCATGAAGACTCTAACATAACTGAAAAACCACGATAATTAATAACGTAAATTTTATTGTTTAAATTAGACGTGACAGTATTATGTCGTATCTACAGGAAAAGTACAAAGTTATAAGTTATGCTATATGTATATATGTATATGTTATAATAAGGTAATTATCGTACGAGATAACGAAGAGGTTCGATAATTCAGCGTTCTTTAATCGAGTTCGATGGGGAAAGGTAATTACGACCGGAAAGAAGAGGTGCAAAGGAACGCGAGGGCAGAGTGACAAATGTTGAACACGGAAAAATAGAAAAATAAGTGTGAATCGCCGAAAGCAGCCACGACAGAAGGCACGATAAATTGCTACAGAAGAAGCCAGATGCTCGCTTCTTTGCTCCTTTTCAACGACTCTGTCTTTGTATCGAAATCCTGCTCGATCGATCATGAATAGATAACGTAAAGAGATATTAAGGCAGCATCGTGCAATAAAACGAAATTGTTGCCACAAACGATAACCTTGTTCTATCGCAAACGAAAATACGTTATCGACAGCAAGTTTGGAAATTTTTGTGATAAAATATTCTGGTTATGTTACAGTGATATATATTGGAAATTTTATTTTGTGAATTTAGACTGAAGTCAATTTAGATAGAAGAATATAGCTTCTTTTTGTAAATATGGGTAGAGTACTTGCCTTTAACTAAGAGTAGCTGAAATTGCACTTCTCATTATTACTTGGTATACTTTATTATATCTGCATGCAAGCTTTATAAAACTTCTAGCGAAAAGACTGTTTTTAATACAAAAATACTTTGCAGTAAAATTATTGTTCACTGTGTTATAAAAAGTGACATAACCTGTGTAGATTTGCGTATGAAAATAGAGAAGATATTTTACAAAAGAAATATAATTTCCCAAAGACTATGAAATTGACATCGCTTTCAAACCCTCTGTCGATAACATATGTGAACGCTCGGTCACAACTCTACGAGTCTTTCTTTGCATCGAAAAAGTGCACGGACACAAAAGATGTGTCACATGTAGTTGGAAATAAAACAAAAGTGATCCTCGCGAAAACGTGCAAGTATGTACAAGGAGAAATATGATCGTTTAAGTGTTAAAACATCGCAAGACTTTCTCCTTTTTCTTTCACCGGCTACTTCGACAGCTTTGGCGATTTCGACAAGCGACGACCTTAAATCTAAAAGCATTCTCGTCTCGCTATAATTGTTTATCGCGCTACAACGACGGGCACGGTCGAAATCTTTCGAACGACTCGACCGTCCACACACAATCTCGTTTCTCGTCAATTGGTAAATCCTCTTGGTAAAAAATAGCGATTAATAAATGAGCGTACGTATAATACGTTGATTCTCTTAATACGAATAGGTAATCTATTATATTATATAAGTATATAATATATGCGAATATTTGGCGTGACTTCGGGGATCGATAAGAGGATAGGGACGATGATTTGGTGGGAAGAAACGCTCTTGTTCTAGTTTAAGGTTTAAATTAATGTAGCATAAAAAACACAAATAACAAACAGAAGGGTTGATGGACGAACTCAGAGAAAAACGTACATTTTACAGGTGTTATTTTGCATGCGTAAATGTAGATATTTGCAACGAAACAGTAACAGGAAGGGATGTGCGAGTATCCCAAATGGGACTGTGCTTAAAACTTATCGCTCCACGATATCCACAAATTCGTATCAATTTAGAAATTTTTGAAAGCCATGTTTTCAAATTTCTAAATTCTCGAACTGTCTCTGATTTCTTAATCTCTGGATTTTCAAACCTTCCAAATTTTCCAACCTCTGAATTTTTGCATTCCGAAATTTCCAATCTCAGAATCAAACCCCTCGAGTTCTCCAACTTCGAAACTTCACAAATCCCAGCAATACATAGAAACTTGGTATACGTCCAACGCATCGGGTTACCCGCACATGCCTAACAGGGTAAGGGTAAGAGAGCATTTAATACTAAAAATTAATGAAGGGTCGATTGACGTTCACGGAGCAGATTTTCGTCTCCCACGATCGACGCTTAACGCTACGCTAACTTATTTACATCAGGGTAAACACACAACCGCGAAGAAACTCTATAAAATGGAGAGACAAACGTTACACCACGAATCTACCAAGCAACACGCTCGATCTTAACTCACGAAAATATTGTTGATCGATTTCAAAATGCCACCGTGACGATCCGTCCTATAACATATAGGAATTCAATCGTCCGCAACTGTCCGTGTTAAGTATCTCCGAATTAATAATGTTCATGTCAGTTCTTTCGCAGTCTTATGATTCCTACTTAGACTCGTCGATAAACGTCAGGATGCTCTCGATGCATCGTCTACGCGAAACTGAACTTTCACTAATCTCAAACCGAGCTTCTCGAAGCGTGCAACGTTTACTCGGTAACACGTTACAATGTTTTTCATCCGCGTGCGTTTTTCAGGAAGATTTTTTTTTAATTGGTCATGGTTGAATTACGCGCGAGTACACGAAGAAACTTTCTTCCTGTTATAACGCGCTCATGCGTTCTATCGCTCGCGATCGCTCCTTCTTCCTTACATTGTAACTATTTCCGACCAAGAGTAGATGAATCATAACGTTACAACAAACTTCAGTCTCCACTTTTTACTTTGAAAGAAACAAAAAAGATGATACGGAAGTTGAAGCTAGAATAAAGGAACGACCACGAACGATCAGCGATAAGATTATTGCCGAAAGGAAGAAGAAAGCATGGTGAGTGATGAACGCGCGATTTTCGGATTCAGATAGCCTAGACAGGTGGCAGAGCCCACAAAGTTGCTGTCTTATCAGCAGAGGTACTGAGGAACGAGAACTCCGTCGGATGCCACCGTCCAGAGATCACTTTGTCCTGATGCTGGGCGACGACCACGCTGGGTAAGGGCATCGTTAGATCTCCTGCAAAAAAATATATAAATTAATGGGTAAGAAGATCACGTGTCTCTCGATATCTTGCAATTTACCCCTTTCGGTTCATGAATTTAAAAATAAAAGTTCGCACATGTGTCCTCAGATATTTATCCCACAAGTAATTATTCAAAAAGTGAAGAAGTAAAATTGCAATCATCGATAAGATTACATCGTTAATTATCGTAATGCGTATCAAACACATCTCGTATACCAATCAGCTCAAACTGAACTGAAACGTACCTTGCAGATCGGTGAGAACGAGTTTATTATCGTATCCACCTGTGAGCAAGTAGTAGGCAGAAGGTGAGAAGCGTATGCTTCTTATATCAGCAGCGTGAGGTTTGAAGCATTGCACGGTTCTACCGCCTCGGATGTCGAAGAGAACGCAGCTGCTGTCCTCGTGACCGGAAACCAGGAGACGTCCGGATGGATCGACGCAGAGTGCAGCTACCGGACTGCCAACCTGTAACGGTATCAAATGCTGATCAGACACGCGATACTGCTTCCGTTCCACGCTGATTCGAAGTACGTCCGATAAAAATTCGATCCGGAGACAGAGAAAGGGTCTACAGAGAGAATGCGTGAAGAAGATGGACCGATGTGACTTAAAAACGTGGGTCGAAATTTTATCGGACGTGGAACTCAAAAACGAAACTTAACAAACGCAAAAGTCTGATGATGTCGGCGGTGCATGCTGGATGCGCTGTTGATCGTAGAAATCCTTTCTGTGTATTTCGTGTGATCCACAGATTATTTCTAGTTACTTAGGAGCTTTGGAACTGGATATTTAACTTTGGATATTTTCTTAATAAAACTTGTAGCTACCTGGCAGTGCAGTTACCTACAGCAGGTAGGTAGTGTAGTTATCAAGCAGACGGAAGCAATGTGATATCAGTTTGTATATGGTTACATGATACATATGTGTCTCAGATGTTTCGAAAGGATTTCATTGATCAGTGCCGATGACAGGAAAAGAGCACTAACCGAGAAGCGAACTAACTCTTGAGACTCTACCTTCTCGGTGAACGATGATGACTATCAAAGAGTTTGAGAAACCAAGTGGTATACTTTTGAAAACATCAGTATTGATCTTGTATAGATATAACATCTGTGTACGAACATGTGGATACAGTGATGTACATAATAAAAATTGACAGATGCAAACCCTACAATCCATTAACCCTGCATCCACATAATACCACGAGTATCAATGAATCCAACGTCCACAAAGTACAATTATCTAAATTTTGCTTCCACCACCAGGTTTCCATCCGAATTCGTGCCGTCTTTAGCGGAGCCGAACTAACCCTGCTTCCAGGTACCGTAGCCGGTGTGACCATGTTGACGCATCCCCTCGTCCGCAGATCCCAGAATCGCACGGTCTTATCCTGAGAGCCGCTGACGAACATTGCGCCTCCCCAATTGTACAAAGTGAGAACATGGCCGCTGTGTCCGCTGAGAGCCTGGAAGGGTGTTCCGGTGGCGCAATCGGTGACATAAATCTTGCAGTCGCCCGCACCCCCGCTGATCAGGAGGCTGGATTTGTTGGACGTGTCCTCGAGGAAGCACAGATCGCGTACTGTGCCGTCGTGCATCGTCAGCTCGACTTCTTGTCCTGCGGGAACGAGATAGGGTCATAATTGTTCGTTCGGGGTGAAAGTTTTTTTGAGGAACTTTCGTTACGCAAGAATTACACGCGAGACGGTTGCCCGAGTGACAAGCAGGAAGTCGAAAGGCTGTTATTTGGTGGATTATAGAGTGGAGGTAGGTGGTGGTGATATAGTTTCTCGGTGCTTTAATTAACTGGACTTTCCCAGCAGTTTCAGGATATGTTAAGTAATTTGAAACTTACGGCAGGTGTTATGAGCCTCTCTCTGGTTTTAGTGTCTGATCGCCGAGGCGGATAGGGTAGATTGATTGGGATAAATGAGCGTCCTTGTTTATGATTGAGTGAAACGTGAAACGAGTGCTCTATGTATAGATGTCGTTATTATACGTCTATGCCAGCTTATGTACAAGTTTAGATATTATTAAATATGGCGTTAATAGCACGTGCAATGTAATGTTATCTACTAACTAAATCTTGACCATGCACTACATTTAGAAACCAAGTTATTGTATACTATAGCACAGAATCACAGTAGCAACAATTTACGGTTGCAATTGCCATTCAATTTGAACCGAATAAATTCGATAATTATATGAAAATTATATATTGCTTATTCAATTAACTTTAACTAATTTTAGAATTAGTTTTGTTTAGTTCACATTTAAATGACATGTGGGTTAAACCACATGTTTTATAAGAAATTTAATTGATAGTAAAATAACATACTTGATTAATAATTAATGTTAAGATTCGTGAGTTTAATAATTTTTATGTACCTTCGAGGTTCGATGTGTCAGCATTGAAACGCATCAATTTGACAGTCTTGTCGTTGCTTCCGGTCGCCATCAGCTGTCCATCCGGTGTCCACGCGAGGCAATATATCGAACCCTTGTGATGTTTCGTTCTCTTGAAGAGAACCGTGGGCTGATACGTCTGATGGTCTTCTCTGAAAAGCATCAGAAATTACCATTTTTAATCTATAATCAACGCGTCCCTGTTAAACGGTACGAAATAACGCTTGTTTCATTTCACCGCGCAAGCTATCGTTAAAACAACTAAAAGGAAACCACGCAACCGAGACATCGATCCACCGGTTTGCCCGCGAATCGTTTCACTTTTGCTCGATTCTCGATTTAACTTTCCACTTCGGTACCATAAATTTCAAAGCTGAAACATTCAATCATCGAAACGATCGCTCATTGTGTTTTTTACTTTCATTCGGTCCTTACTGCAATTTTACGCATGAGTTGAATCGACACATCTTGATGGACGTGTTGGTATTTCTGTGCGTTTTATTGCTGGTTGTTGGTATTTCTACACGTTCATATTTGCATAAGTAGATATTTTCACGTATAGATATTTCCACGCGTAGATAATTCCACGCACAGATATTTCCACGCGTAGATAATTCTACGCACAGGTATTTCCATGCATCGATATTTCCGCGCGTAGATATTTCGATGCGTAGATGTTTGCACACATAGATATTTCCACGCATCGATATTTCCTCGCATAGATACTTCCACGCGTAGATATCTCCACGCATCGATATTTCCACGTATAGATACTTCCACGCGTAGGTAATTCCACGCACAGATATTTCCACGCGTAGATAATTCCACGCACAGGTATTTCCACGCATCGATATTTCCATGCGTAGATATTTCGATGCATAGATATCTCCACACATAGATATTTCCACGCATAGATATTTCCACGCATCGATATTTCCACGTATAGATACTTCCACGCGTAGATATCTCCACGCATCGATATTTCCACGCATAGATACTTCCACGCATAGATATCTCCACGCATAGATACTTTTACGCATAGATATCTCCACGCATCGATACTTCCACGCATAGATATTTCCACGTGTTAATATTCCTCCTCGTCCCATTACCATACATTGATATTCCCACGAGTAGATATCTCCATGCATCGATATTTCCACGCATAGATATTTTCATGTATAGATATTTCCAAGCGTTAATATTCCTACGTGCCCCATCACTATGCGTTATTTCCATGCATTGATATTTCTATGCATTGTATCTCTCATCTTAACTCTATTCTAATATTAACACTTTTCCTCCAACAATCACCTCTAAATAAAAGATCACCCATTCAATGATTAACTCATAACAAAATCCGAGATCTCGCGTTATGACAAAACGATTACCTATGTGACTAAAATAGCTCGACAAAACTCATATTATAATCAATATTAATATCCTTTGTTCAACAAGAACAGTAAGCAGCAAGTATCGCGTTCACATGCGTCACTCTTTTTCAGCCTCGTTTTCATCCTCGTTCTCAGGCGACCGGTCTTAATTAATCACGAGCAGGATGCGAACAAGCTTCGAGGAGCGTGGAAATCAGGGAGAGGATCGTCGATACAATTTCAAACAAGAAACTTTCACGCCGCCTACACTTTCCGTCAGATTTTGATCAAGTGAACTTGAATGGGTGCGTGCTTGTTCGTCGATTAAACTCGTCTTGATTTTCTTTGGATGTTGATGTTCGGTTCGCTTTCTTCCAGTGGAAATGCGAATGTTGCGTGTAGAAAATGATCGGTATGGTTGAAATCACGGAGAGGAATCGAAGCGGGAATTCCCGATTTCTCCGCCCGGAGAATATTAAAACGATGAGCGACTGCGTTTGGTTTTGTTCTTTCGATTTGCTTTGGTTGCGCTGTAATTGCATGCGCGGTTAGAGTGCTAGTGAGAGAGATTTGGGTCAGTGGATTTCTTTTCTGAGATATTTGGCAAGTTGGGGATTTTAGGGGCTTAGGAATTTTGGAGGTCAAAGAATTTTGGGATGTGGAAGTTTGGGAAGTTGGAAATTTTTGTAGGTTGAGGTTTAGGTGCATTATTTGGGGATTTAGGGAGCGGGGAGATTGGGGATTGGGGAATTAGGGATTGGTGATTTAGGGATCGGGGATTTTGGGATTACGGATTTAGGGATTGGGATTTGGGGATTGGAGATTTAGGGATTGGAGATTTAGGGATCGCGGATTTAGGGATCGGGGAATTAGCTATCGGGGATTTAGGAATTCAGGGACTTAGAGATCGGTGACTTAGGAATTCAGGGACGTAGAGATCGGTGATTTAGGAATTCAGGGATTTAGAGATCGGTGATTTAGGAATTCAGGGATTTAGGTATCGGGGACTTAGGGATTGGGGAGTTAGCTATCGGGGATTTAGGAATTCAGGGACTTAGAGATCGGTGATTTAGGAATTCAGGGACTTAGAGATCGGTGATTCATGAATTCAGGGACTTAGAGATCGGTGATTTAGGAATTCAGGGACTTCGAGATCGGTGATTTAGGAATTCAGGGACTTAAAAATCGGTGATTTAGGAATTCAGGGACTTAGAGATCGGTGATTTAGGAATTCAGGGACTTAGAGATCGGTGATTTAGGAATTCAGGGTTTTAGGGATCGGAGATTTAGAGGTCGGGAATTTATGGATGGACGATTTAGGAACTTGGTGACACCCTGATTTGTAAATATACAAATTTGAAGATACAGAGACCAGGTGACATGGAAATTTGAATATTTGAAATTATTTGATATGGAAATGTAGAGAAATAGAGATCTTCTAATATGAACATTGGAAGCAAAAGAAAATGCACGATTGCGGAAACATTGATTGACAAGCAATTAACTTTCAATCGACAACAATTTGCAGCCGATGGTCAGTTTTCTTTCTGGAAAGCGGATACAAACGTTGACGGAAACGATGTAAAGAGACTTGGCACTGATATCGTTCTGCGAGATGTTTCGCGACAAATGAAGAGGCGCTCTCTCGCTTATCAATCAACCGCTGTCACACTGCTACGCGTTTATCACGTTCCGCGTGGCTAATTTACACGCGGATAAAGTGAAACGCGTTAGGTTCGTGGGTGACACATTCCTTGATAGAATCGAAAAACGTTTCACCGAAGAATCGGATGTGGAATGTAAATACTTTCGACAAAATATGAATTGCTGGAAATGTTAATTGCATTAATACGTCGATTGCTATGTCAGGCATATTTGTATGACATGTAAATATATCTTGTAAATGAAATTATGCTTGAGATTTTATGAGAAACGAGCTTATTTATTGCTCGATGAATTATTTTGTGTACACGAAAGCAGCAGAGATAAATTGCATCAGAATAACTGATAGAGTTTTGAGGAAGATCAAATGATCGTTTGATTATGATTTATGTTCCATAAATTACATGTATATTCAACAGAGATATTTGTACATCTTATTATTATCTCTGATGAATGAGGTGTATTCGAAGGTTAATTAAGAGACACATAGCTGAATAGTACAATACCTACTAAAAATAACATTATTTCCAAAATACCGAAGAAAGTTCCGTAAAAGAGAAGCCGAAAATTGAATAGGCTATTCTGTTGAAGTTTCTTTCATGTCACGAACGAAAGTGAAGATCTGTTTTTTTATGTCAGTATCACTAGAGAGAAACTATAAACTACAAGCACATTACGCTTTCACTGCAGCTTGAATAGAAAATAAAAAAAAAATATGGAACGTGTTTCATCCGTTTAATTCGATGATAACAATCGCGATTCCATAAAGAATTACTGTACAGCAATGAAAAAATAAGTAAATGCTTTTCGTGAAGTGATACGATCTCAAAATCTCTCGAATTACCTAGATTCTAAATATAGAATTTCTTTTTAGGTTTACAAAAACATGTAGTTTGGATGCGTAACACCGAAAGTGGGATACTTCTTCAAAATTACGTGTTACGTATTATATTGCCATGTGTTGTGTTGCAACACTCTGTATTACGTGTTATATTGCCACGCGTTATATTCCCACGCGTTATATTACCACGCATTGTATCTCTACGCGTTGCATTTCCACGCGTTGTATCACCACGCGTTATATCGCCACGCGTTATATCACCACGGGTTATATTGCAATGCGTTGTATTTCCACGCGTTATATTACCACGCATTGTATTTCTACGCGTTGCATTTCCACGCGTTGTATCACCACGCGTTATATCGCCACGCGTTATATCACCACGGGTTATATTGCAATGCGTTGTATTTCCACGCGTTATATTACCACGCATTGTATTTCTACGCGTTGCATTTCCACGCGTTGTATCACCACGCGTTATATCGCCACGCGTTATATCACCACGGGTTATATTGCAATGCGTTGTATTTCCACGCGTTATATTACCACGCATTGTATTTCTACGCGTTGCATTTCCACGCGTTGTATCACCACGCGTTATATCGCCACGCGTTATATCACCACGTTGTATCACCACGCGTTATATCACCACGCGTTATATTGCAATGCGTTATATTTCCACGCGTTATATTACCACGCATTGTATCTTTACGTGTTGCATTTCCATGCGTTGTATCGCCACGCGTTGTATCACCACGCGTTATATCACCACGCGTTATATTGCAATGCGTTATATTTCCACGCGTTATATTACCACGCATTGTATTTCTACGCGTTGCATTTCCACGCGTTGTATCACCACGCGTTATATCACCACGCGTTATATCACCACGCATTATATTTCCATGCGTTATATTACCACGCATTATATCTCTACGCGTTTCATTTCCACGCGTTGTATCACCACGCGTTATATCGCCACGCGTTATATTGCAATGCGTTATATTTCCACGCGTTATATTACCACGCATTGTATTTCTACGCGTTGCATTTCCACGCGTTGTATCACCACGCGTTATATCACCACGCGTTATATCACCACGCGTTATATTGCAATGCGTTATATTTTCATGCGTTATATTACCACGCATTGTATCTCTAGGCGTTGCATTTCCACGCGTTATATCACCACGCGTTATATTGCAATGCGTTATATTTCCACGCGTTATATTACCACGCATTGTATCTCTAGGCGTTGCATTTCCACGCGTTATATCACCACGCGTTATATTGCAATGCGTTATATTTCCACGCGTTATATTACCACGCGTTGTATCTCTACGCATTGCATTTCCACGAGTCATATCACCACCATAAAAAAATAAGCCTACGTTCGATAAAACAGTAAGAGTAGATTATCTAATAAATTACTCATGCGACTATCATTAAACCGTTGCATGTCCAGAAATTGCCTAGAACAATAGTAAGTCGTAAGGACCGTTTAGTTCTCGTTGGAGTGAAGCTTCGTTTTCCACTTGGTCTCACGATAACCTGCTCATTATTTACGGTTGCAAAGCTGGCCTGTTCGCGAATCGACGACGCTCGAGCCACGTTTAATTTCGCCGCTGGTAGACTAATTTTACGCGAGTGTGCTGACTTAACGAACGGCGAAGACCTTCATACCAAACGGAGCATTCTCGAATGCTCCACCAGCCTGTGGGTTCTTCTTTTATTGCCAACCTTTATTGCGATATTATCTCTTCGTTCCATTCTTTTGATGCATTTCAAGTAGACCGGTAAAAACTCCAATGGAACTTCGGTACTTCGTATAATTACAGATATTTTGGTATCGCTAGTGTATCTTTCTGTATTGTGCAAAGCGATACAACGTGGTGATATAAGGGACGGCGATATAACGCGCGATATTGAGCTGTATAGAGATGCAACGCGTAATAGCACAGTAGTTGATAATTAATAGAAGAGTAGTTTTGTTCGTAGGTACATTTGAGTGGTTTTAGATTCGGTGGTTTATGTGGTTTGGAAGTGAATTCTCAATTATGTGGCTTGGGACAAATTTTCTAAAGTCCCAATTTTCCAAAGTCCCAAATTTCCAAGGTCCCAATTTTCCAAAGTCCCAAATTTCCAAGGTTCTAAATTTCCAAAGTCCCAATTTTTCAAAGTCCCAAATTTCCAAGCTTCTAAATTATCAAAGTCCCAAATTTCCAAGGTCCCAATTTTCCAAAGCCCCAATTTTCCAAGGTCCCAAATTTCCAAGGTCCCAATTTTCCAAAGTCCCAATTTTCCAAAGTCCCAAATTTCCAAGGTCCCAATTTTCCAAAGTCCCAAATTTCCAAAGTCCCAATTTTCCAAGGTCCCAATTTTCCAAAATCCCAATTTTCCAAGGTCCCAATTTTCCAAAGTCCCAAATTTCCAAGCTCCCAGTCTTCCAAAATCACAATTTTCCAAGGTCTCAAATTTCCAAAGACCCTAGGTCCAAAGTTTCAAATTTCCTAGGTCCTAAATTTTCTAAAGTCCCAATTTTTCTAGGCTCCAAATTTCTAAATTCCCAATTTTCCAAAGTCCCAACTTTCCAAATCCCCAATTTTTCAACGTCCCAAATTTCCCAAGTCCCAATTCTCCAAATGCCCAATTTCATCTCTATCACTCGACAACTTATCTGAAGTACACACCTAACTTATACTCCCCAATTTGACCAATAATTAAAGCTAGTAAAAATGACCAAAAATATTTACCTAACATCGTGGAGCTTTGGATAAGAGCATATTCTGAGCGTTTTCGAGTTGGATCCCACGGCATATAATTTTCCATGGGGGTGAAATTCCGCGCAACGAACCGCCTGCACATCCTCCAACGCCGTGACAGGAACGAATCTCGGTCTACCACCGTTGCTGCTGCCATTGCTGTTATCAAGTTCTTGCCGTGGTTCTTGCTGAAAAACGAAAAGTCACCGTTAAAGACAAGTTTCATGGTCGTTGACGGTCAACAACACCTCTCGGTGTCGGTGAAATTACAGAAACAAAGATACGATCAAGTGAACGTGAATTCACACGTCATAAATGTTAATTGGTTAAGATATACGTCATCGGTTTGGTATTGTTTCTCATAACACTTTCGTTGCGAAAGGAGCTGCTGTATGGTCAAGGTGTATGACTGATTTATCACTCGTTTATCTTACTAAATTGTGATATTATCAAACGTGCTGTTGCGTAGTGAGTAGAAACGGAGAGAAATTTCTGTGTTTTCATTTTGATGGAAATTTAAATTGATGCTATCTGAAACTGAAATTTATGTACGATTTTTTGGCGTGATAAACTTGTGAGGTATGACTTGGTTTATAAATGGATGTTGGTTTAATAACCTGTATTAATATAAAATTCTGTGGAGGATTTAGTTGTACTTTCTCTTATTTTTATTTATCGATTCGTGTGAATTTTCAGGGGTGGTAAATTTGTGGGTTAAAGTATGGTTATGACTTGGTTTACAAATTGAAGCTCTTGGTTTAATAATTGTATTAATATAAAATTCGATGCAATATTTATCTCAATTTTCCCTTATTTTTATTAATCAATTCGTACAAATTTTCAGCGATGATAAATTAATGGGTTAAACTATGGTTACGACTTGGTTTACAAACTAAACCTCTTGCTTTAATAATCCGTATAAATATAAAATTCAATGCAATATTTATCTCAACTTTCACTTATTTTTATTAATCAATTCGTACAAAATAGAAGATGCACTAGTGACTTTCATATCACACAAGGTGTTAACACGATTACACATACCACAAATTCATCAGCGAAAATTTCCCAAATAGAAGAAAAATCTGACAGTGAAGTATTAAAATATCATCGTACCATGACTCCATACGTATTGACTCTATTTCTACAGTCAGTGAGTTTAATTATCCACAAGAAAGTTGTACTTGCTGAACATCACGGTTTCGACTCAGAGTACCACGAATGAAGGGTTAATGATTCGTGTGACTAATTATTGTGTCAATCTGTCGCTCCTCGGAGTGTATGACAAATTATACCTCAATATACCAACTGTCAGAGCAGTCCGGCTGAGTTTGCATATCCCTGACACGTGCTTTCAATAGTGATATTGATAGCTTGGGAGAAAAGTGGTAATTGGAAGCTATTTCATTTTCGAAGTGTATCTTTCACTTAGTGAGTCTTCAATGGAGAAGTGTATGATTGTTGGTACAGTAGAGTTTTTAGGATTTTAGGGGTGTGGGGATTTGGGGAGGTGGGGAGGTGGAGATTTGGGGATGTGGGGATTTGGAGATGTGGAGAGTTGGGGATGTGGAAATTTGGGGATGTGGAGATTTGGGGATGTGGGGATTTGGGATTGTGGAGATTTAGAGATGTGGAGATTTGGGGACGTGGAGATTTGGGGATGTGAAGATTTGGGGAGGGACGTGGAGATTTGGGGACGTGGAGATTTGGAGATATGGAAATTTGGAGATATGGAAATTGGGGGACGTGGAGATTTGGGCATGTGGAGATTTGGGGACGTGAAGATTTGGAGATGTGGAGATTTGGGGATGTGAAGATTAGAGTATGTGGAGATTGGGGGACGTGGAGATTTAGAGACGTGGAGATTTGGAGATGTGGAGATTTGGGGACGTGGAGATTTGGGGACGTGGGGATTTGGAGATGTGGAAATTGGGGGATGTGGAGATTTGGAGATGTAGAGATTTGGGGACGTGAGGATTTGGAGACGTGGAGATTTGGGGACGTGGAGATTTGGAGATATGGAAATTTGGAGATATGGAAATTGGGGGACGTGGAGATTTGGGCATGTGGAGATTTGGGGACGTGAAGATTTGGAGATGTGGAGATTTGGGGATGTGAAGATTAGAGTATGTGGAGATTGGGGGACGTGGAGATTTAGAGATGTGGAGATATGGGTATGTGACGATTTGGGGACGTGGAGATTTGGGGATGTGGAAATTTGAAGATGTGGAGATTTGGGGATGTGGAAATTTGGAGATGTGGAGATTTGGGGGTATAGAGATTTAAGAATATAGTAGTTTGGGCATGTAGGGGCTTGAGAGAATAGAAGTTTAACATTTGGTTATGTTCTATAGTTAGACATTTGGGAATGCAGAAATTTGGAGTCCTAAGAATTCGAGGATACAGAGATCTGAAGAACCAACTACTCAGATATCTATAGATTTATATAAATTTAATAATCTAAAGACTTGAACCTATAAGCTCTTACAGGTATTCAAGTCTCCAGCGACTCAGAGACCCATCAATTCTAAAATCCACATATTCTCTGCTCTACTTATTCACACCAGCTATCCGAAGATACAGGAAGCTCTCACTTAATAATCCCATCACATGCAAATATAACTACAACCCTCAAATTTAGAAATATAAACCTATACATAAATCTGTAATCACGTAACCTGTACCTAAACTATCCCCTCTAATAACTGCAATAAAAAGCATAAACTTCCAGTAAATTCCAAAATTGTACGCTTTCACTATAACGTTACAAACGTCAGTTTCAGAAAGAGACAATTAACATAATCGCAACAGGTTAACCGAATTGCACGCGTTCAAATAACACGCTGTTCCACTTGCACTACTCTCTAATTTCCATGTAAAAGTCGTCGAAATTTCAGGTAGCTGTCAGAGGGTTAAAACCTTGCCGGGAAAAAATGGTAGAATTAAATTGCCACACACAGCTGTCGAAGCTGTCGTTGTTAACATTTTCGCTCCAAGAACCGGCTCCGATCGTGTTAATGTCCCAGTAGGACCAGCTTTGACCTATTCATTTTGCGTAATAAAAGGCACGAATTAGGGACATTTGGTGCGTTTGAGCCAGGCAGTTGCTTGGTACGCGAACGCAACGAAAAGTTCGAGAAGTAGAAAGTTAGACCTTGAATGGATTTCTAACCATCCTGAATTTTACTTGTATGCTAATCTTTGGAGAAGTTTCCTGCGGTTTATCGGGTGAAGGCTCGTTTACATTGTTATGAGTGAACTTCGTATAATCTTTCATTGTCAAGTGTTATGAGTTTCGTAGATAATATTAATGTTAAGTAATTGGATTGGAAAGAGTAAAATTATATATTTTTATAGATATTTTTAAGTTGAGAAACTTATACAGTTTCAAGATTTTAAATTGACAGATATCAACATTTTTAATGTTTCAAATTCTCAAATCATCAAATTTCTGAGGTATTAAGTTTTTTGGACTACCAAGTTTAAAAAATCCCAAACTCTCAAGTTATCCAACTAACATCTTAAATTCTTAAATGACAAAATTTCTACCTTTCCAAATTTCCAAATCACCGAATTTCTAAAGCACGAAATTCAAATCATAAAATTTCTAAATGTAAAAATTTTGATTGTTCACATATTTCGCTTAAACCCATCACTACCGAGAACACTGAAGAGTGTACATGCACTAACTTGTACAAACACACTAGAACTCAAAAAATGGTCGAACCCAACGCTGCAAATGTACCAAAATTCAGCAGCAAATACTCCAAAAGACTTTCTAGACTTCGTAACAACTCACCAAAGAGCAAATTCCCAAACTATCGTGTAACCCCATTCTCCCTAACTCGTTAAATCGTTTAGCATTGATTTTTACTCGTCATTGCAACGTCACGGAACGATAATCGTTCGAACGCAATCGATTTTACCGTCAAATAGAATTCTACGACGAATTTTCCTCGGACTTTTTCCCAACACAGGCCCCGGAATCGTTTCGCGATTCTTCTTGCACAACGTTTCGCGCGCCTCGCCACGCTTTTACTTTCCACGAGTTCCACCCAGCTCGATCCTCTCGCGATAAAGCCGAATTAGCAAAGCAAATGAGGACCGTTGTCCGCTGTCATCATCGATCTCTTCTTGCTAAACCGTGCGAAACACGGATTAAGATCTGAATAATTTCCTTCGCTGGTAATCGCTCCTTTTAAGCTGTTCTTTCTATTCGCACCAAATGTCAATTGGATTTGTCTGTTTTGAATTGCTGATCAGATTTTTACCTTGCAAATCACGTTCTAGGTACTGCATTAATGACATTGATGCTATACAAAATTTAGTATGGCAAAATGATTATTTTTGCTTCCTTTTGTGGATTCTGGTTGGAGGTCAAATATAGCTTTTATTTTTTAATTTTATTTTTTGGGAATTTAGTTAACCGTTCTTTGGGTACTTAGTTTAATTTCGTATGGAGAGATTCATGTATTTGATGGCATTATTTATGATGTATAATTGGTATGTATTTTATTAACATGAGATATGTTTTGGTAAAAATTCATAGATGACTTTAATATAGACATTCAATACTTAAAATGTTAGAAGACACACTTTCTTGATTAACATTTGATAGCACTACAATATGTTACATGAAATACCAGGTTCAATTATTGCATTTTGTCAAACACGTGCCATTAATGAACAGTACCATTAACAAACAGTAATGCTACTATTTAACATTTATGCTACGTTTCTATTAAGTAGCAACAAAATTTGCTCCAACTGAAATTATCAAAACATTCTTCCTCTTATCTAACTACACTCTTTTGCTTCATATAGACTCCTACAAATATTACTTGGCTCATTAATTTTATAAGAGCCTCGACTGCTATGATCATTGACCAAAGATCCTACAAACATGCACAATTAACGTACCTTTCCATAAAATAAAAACGATATTCACTTATCTTATCATCAAACCCAGCTCGAAAGTGCATTTTTCCACAAACTCATGCAACAAAGTTAGATTACTATGGGAGTGGCAGTTCAGAAGATTTCGTCGAAGATTTGAGACAGAATGGCGTGTCGGTTGCCGGCTGAAATAACTTCGACGAATGTTAGAAGCGAAGAAGCAACGCGAGAAAAAAAATATTCGAGAGATCTAGGACGAGACAGGTGTAGAACGATTGCCGGCAAACACATC